TCAATCTAAATTTCACTATTAGTATTAGAATAAGATATTTTTCTACTAAATTCAAACGAAGTAATAAATACACTTTCAAAAGATAATGAGCACCAAACAAAGTCATCATCAACATTGCCTTTCTCACCCTGGGTCTGATCGATGAGTAGCCTATAGGCCACGAAAAATTGTTTTCCACCTTTCCCTCTCCTGGGCTAGCCTCTTGATGTTATTCCATGTCTTCCCACATTTTGACCAGTGCGTCAATATATGTGACTCCTCTCTGCGTTCTACGTGGTCTTCTCCTTGAACACAAAACGCAGTACAATTCTGTCATCTGTAGCCCTGCCCACCCCGTCACCTAAAAAAAAATACAATAGTCTAGGTGGAATGTAGAAAAACAAAAGTAGAAGAATGAAAGGTTATCATCAAAGTTCTTTCCCACCTTTTCACCTCAACTTATTATACTGTTTAAAATTATTGATGTCCAATATATTATTAGTATACATAATTAAGGGAGAATGAAAAACAACGTGTCTTTGTTTGTGAAGTCATTAATTTTTGTTCTTGGGAATTTCCCTGTGTATTAAGGGAAACATGACACAGACATGAGAACGGATCAATCGCCAGCGGATTTCCGTAACTCACCGGAGACTGCCGCAACTACCGCTGCCATAGAGGTCAAAATGGTGGTGTACAAACAAGACTTGCCACCAGGCGGTGGTTTTGACCCTATAGAATGGGCCAAACGAACCCCCAGAAAACGAATGGGAGGTAAGTTTTATCATAAGGATACATTTTATGTGAATGTCTCATCCCTGAAGCCATATATGGGCCTTAATCTTCCTTGTCGGGCCATTAATTCAAGACATGAATTCAGTCTTAGCAGTAGCACTCGGAGCTCTTCTTCTCTTCTCTATCATCACACTGCAGACAATTTTAGTGTTGTGTGTACATTTTATGTAGGATCCAGAAATCGAAACAAGCGAATAGATCTAGATATGCTAGGGAATGGCCATCTTGTTTGACCTCGCACTTGGGGAGATTCAGATAGATGGGGGATGCCCGCTGCGTCATCTGATTGTGATCCGAAAAAAAGTGAATTTTGCGTAGATCTAGCGTAATGCGCAGTTTGCACTGCCTAATGCGCAGTTTGCACTGGCAGGTTCCGAGCTCCTTCTCCTTATAGTTCTACTTCATTTGCAGCTCAGCATCCTATTGAGTCCAATCTCGACAATGACAATGACAATCTTAATTCGTCTCGCAGGGAGATGTAGATTCTAGATCTAGATTCTAGATCTAAGTAGTTTAAAAAGGGAAGTGGCTATCCTCTCCCTGGGTGAGAATAAAAATACGGTCGACCTCTCACCCCGGGTGAGACTTGCCACCGTTGGCTATTCTCACCCGGTGTGAAACAAGACTTTACAAGACCTGTTTTTCCTAATTTCGGAAGGAAGTGGCTATGAAAGTGGCTATTCTCACCCTCCCGGAAGTTCTCGCAAGATCTACTCCTCCCCTTTTCTCTCTCTCTCTGTCTCTTTCTGAACACTGTCTATCGGTGTGGACGATCAAATTGACCAAAACAAAGTTAAAAAATGATGTTAAAACACAAAAGTAAATTGATTTGGTTGTCTACAAAGATGCTACGGCTATTTAACTTTTCGAATCGAGCCGAACTACGCGGGTCACCATTTTGTTTTGTTCTCTCTCTTTCTCCCTCTCACTCTCTCTCTCCACTGCCCACAGACAAAATTGTAGGCTTTTAGTAGGCTACAAGTACAGTTGTAATGGAACGTTTGTTCACAGCACAGAATTCTACAATTTTTCTGTTATCACAGTGTAGAATTCTGTGGTTTAGGGTGAACGCAAAATTTGTTGGCCTAGATCTAGGCTATAACGGTGAACGCGCACCGGGTGAGAATAGCCAAAACACTCGCCTGCGCTATTCTCACCCCGGGTGAGAATAGAGGTGGCCAGTGGCTATTCTCACGCGGGGTGAGAATAGAAATACGATCGACCTCTCACCCCGGTTGAGACTTGCCACCGTAGGCTATTCTCACCCGGTGTGAAACAAGACCTGTTTTACCTAATTTCGAAATACTTTCTATCGATGTGGATGATCAAATGGATAAGGCCACCTCTCTATTCTCACCCCGGGTGAGAATAGCGCAGGCGAGTCTTTTGGCTATTCTCACCCGGTGGGCGTTCACCGTTATAGCCTAGGCCAACCAGTGAAGCGTTAACCCTGAACCACAGAATTCTACACTGTGATAACAGAATTATAGAATTCTGTGCTGTGAACAAACGTTCTAGATCTATTACTACCATTAGTGTTAGCCTGAAAGCGTGCAATTTTGTCTGTGGGCAGTGGAGAGAGAGAAAGAGAGAGAGAGAGAGGAGTAGCGCGAGAACTTCCAGGCAAAACAAAATGGCGACCCGCGTAGTTCGGCTCGATTCGGAAAGTTAAATAGCCGTAGCATCTTTGTAGACAACCAAATTAATTTAGTTTTCTTGTTTAAAA